CACTAAACTCAAAAAAAATTGTTTCGTTTTGATTTTATTTTACTAGTAAACCGTAGTAAACGAGTAGGTGAATTAGTAATGGACCTGAAATAAAAGTAGAAATCTAGGAAAAAAACCGCGATAACTAATTTCTCTGGTGCTCCTCCATCCGTCCATCCATCCATCCAAAAGAGAGCAAGCTCAGGGTCAGAGTACGTGCTTGATTGTAACCAAAACGCAAAAGAGAACACTCTGAGAGCTAAAACAAACAGGATCTTATCGTTTCGAGCGCGCTTGAACTGCTCGAAGTTTACCGAGTGTAAAGCCAGTGCATGTGCAGAAGCTAGCTTCTGGATAGGAAATATAGGAATTGGCAAATTAGCTATCCAAGTGCTCCTAAATAGTCGAAAAAAAAACAGTCAGATTTTTTTTACAACCAGGAATAGGAATAGGTACTAGGGGTCTGCTGGTTTTACGTGTACTTAGGTGGGGAACTTGCAGCGAATCTGATGACAGTGGCTAGAATGTTGAATTGGATTTGGATGCTATTCGAGCAAGAACACTTATTGCTTATTGAGTTGAAAGTGTGTGCCATTTTAGCCGCAGGCCTCAACTCTTGACATAAAAATGTATAAGCCGAGTTTAAAACAGTATAGGTTAAAAAAACGAATCCCTAAACGTTATATACTTGTTAAAATCACCTTTTCTACATTTAAAATCCATGAAAAAACAAGCACAACCTGAATCGCAAGCATCCCATCGAGGCCTGCGGGTGACGTCACCACTATAAGAGGCTCCTAATAGTACCGACGTCACTCGCAGGCCTTGCCGACTCGAGAATTGGCGAACGTACGCCTTATGAGGATAAGCAATCTTATTAGGATTCTTGCTATTCAAGTGTTTCCAAATGGTCAAAAAAATCAGTTAATCATTAAACTAAATAGAGATTTTTTCTCATTATTAGGAAATGGAAAATGGAAATTGTTGGCTTCACGTTTACCTATACTTGATGGTCAGAAACTAAAATGTTTCTGGATAGGACTTAGGTGCTCCTAAATAGTCGAAGAAAAACTTGAATTAGTTATTTATTATTTAAATTACAGATTTTTTTTTTGCATTATTAGGGAACTGAACTACTGGCCTTACGTTTACTTGGGGGTGTAGAGATTTGCAGCGAATCTGATAACAGTGGCTATAATCGTTAATGTTGTATTGAAATTAGGTGTTATCTAAGTGCTCCTGAATGGTCGAAGAAAAACTGCAACTTTTTAGGAGCACTTAAATAGCACCAAATTCCAATACAACAGCATTTTAGTCACAGTTATCAGATTCGCTGCAATGCAAGACATCCTCAAGTAAATTTAAAGCCAGCAATTCCTTAATAATGAAAAACAAAAATCTGTACCTACTTCAGTTAATAATTAACTGATTCAAGTTTTTCTTCAAATATAAGCACTTAAATAGCACTAATTCCTATCCATAAACATTTTAGCTTCTGATACAGCACCAACTAAACGTGAAGCCAATAATTTGCCAATAATGAAAAAAAAAAACTATAAATCATTTAATAATTAACAGATTCAAGTGTTTCGTTGACAATTTGGGAGCACTTAAATAGTACCTAATTTCTATCCAGGAACATTTCAGCCTCTAACACACCACCATAAGTAAACTTGAATCCAGGAATTTCATAATATTGAAAAAAAATCTGTAATTCAGTTAATAATTAACTGATTCAATTTTTTCTTTGACTATTTAGGAGCATTTTAAAAAGTATAGGTACCTATTATGTAAATTCTGATATCAAAGAAAAATTAAAAAAAATATTTTCACTACGGGGGACTGCTATAGGTATTTCATGTAAACCTAGCAATCCCTTCGTTTTTTTCTACAATGGGACTGCTAGGTTTATTGATCTAATATTCTGGAAAATCAATAAATAACCTCATACAATTTCAAATCTGGGGAGATACCTACTTTGGATAAGTATATGTATTATTAACTTTACATTTATAAATAATTTTACATGTCTGTATAGACTCTACGCTTTAATAATAAGTATATATTTCTAAAATCTTGGCTCTACTGTAGTTAATAAAAATAAAGTCCACAACCATTCATTAAATACAAAAACATTTAATTTATTTTTATTATTTATCAGCATCAGCTGATTACACCAGATGTTCCGCGCGCCCGCCGCGTACACAAACCCTTCAACTACTCTTTGTACTCCTCCGCGATCATGTTAACTGATCCCGACCATAGCCGATCGCGTTCGTGAGTAGACCATTTGCGGATTAGCACAAATGCACAGTAGCACAAATGGAGCCATCTCTTGTTTTTTGCCTGTTAAATGTAATCCCGTCGACTTTTTTTTCTCTGCGGGTTTTGCAGCCATACGCTAGCAATCCACCATGCTGAATATCACAAAAATGTTAGTCTGAAGTAAAATTCACATAGTGGCACCATGAAAAATTGTCGCCATTATTTGGTGGCAAACGGTCACAACCAGCTGCTAGTGCAGGTAAAGGATGTTACGCGTCCTCTCTCTTTCCTTGTCTAAGGGTTTGGTATATTCCTAACCTCAAATATATTATTTTTTAGACAAAGAAAGATTTCCATAATTCGCCGGTAAGATAAATAGAGATAGGTTTACCCCACATTCTCCATCTCAATTTGCCGCAAATTTTTGGATCGGCGGGCCATTCCAGGTACGTGTAGTTTATAGTTCATTGCACACTAATGGTGTGGATTACCAAAAACGAGGCCAATAAGCACTCTTGGGGTGCGTTCGAAATCACCCTGGACGTCACACCGAGTGGACACCAGCTATGAATTATTCATGGCTGGTGTGCACTCGGTGTGACGCCCAGGGTGATTTCGAACGCACCCCTAGAGTGTATATTTATTTTCTTTCGTAGTTTTTTAGAATTTAAATTTTTGATGAAAAATATTATTTATAATTTTAATTAACATAATAGGCAAAAAGGAAGATGAAAACAAGATTAATGGCCTTTCCCACTAGCAACACGCCACGCCACCCCACGCCATGTGACACAGGTTCACGTGGGACAGTTTGTGTGCAAATAGACGGAAGGCGTGGCGTGCCATGGCGTGGTATCGCGTATGGCAAGTGTGTACGCAGCACATATAAATAAATGGAAGAATATACGCATACATTTTCGTCACATGGCGTGGCGTGGCGAAGTATGACGTGGCGTGTTGCTAGTGAGTTTCGGCCTTAAAGGTCGTATTTTCAAATTCATGCGGGTACATTTCGTACACGAAATCTAACCGACTGCAATGTAAATTAAATGGGGAGCATTTGAAATCATATCAAGTTTCGTATGCGAGAATATTCAAAAATAGGACCCCTAATGTTAAGTAATGTAGTAAAACCAAGTATTTATAGAGCAAAAGCACGCGGAATCATAATATGTAAGTGCAAGCAACCTACGTCAAGGCGAGAAAGGACATGCTACCTACGTCACAACTGGTGATTTGGCGTTGTGGTGGCTTCAGGTATTATCCAATGAAATCGTACTATATCCTTGGGCAGCGTGTCGTTTCTCGCCTTGACATAAACCGAATTTTCGTGACGAATGTACACTTGGCCAAACATAAAACTGGTACAGGCAATACATATATTTTTTAAATTTGCCTAGAATGAGTCAAGCTTAAAAACAAAAACTCACTTCTGAAAAACTTAGATCAGACAGTTTTTGTCAACCTCAAAGCTGGACAAAAGTAAATGGAACATGTTTTAATGTTATGATTGGTTTAAATATGACACTGACTTGACTCTTTTTGTCATTGTTGAGGTTATAAAAGAGATCGATTTACACAATACAACACAATAGGAAAATGCGTACTAGTTTTATGATTGGCCAAGTGTAGATTATCCAAGGACAAACCATAGTTTGTCTGTGACGTCATGAGTTTGACCGCTGGCTAGGAGCTGCGTCCATGCTTCCGTCGAACTACGTTCAATATAACTTGATGAGCTTCTCACGAAATTTCGGTTAAAGGCTGTTTGCACCACAGTTGCTTTTATGCATATAAAACACTCGAGATACTCGATCCGGCGTTAGTTGCTCCCGATTTGAGATGCGTGGTGCAAAAAACACTTTTCGAAAGGAATAGGCGCGTAATGCTCCGGAGCTGTTCCGGTGTTCCTCCTAGGTTTGAAAGGAATGCAACTTGTACTTGCTGCATTTGCTCGAAAATTAGGAAGATCTGCTAGGAGCTGCTATTTATGAGCTTATAATATATGGGACAAGTAAACGCGTGGATGCCTGCCAAGGATCATACACTTATTGCTAAAGGATAACCTATCCTCATAAGGCCTATGTGGAACCAATCCCCCCTCTTCTCAAACCACCAAATCACCAGTTGTGACGTAGCAACATGCCCTTTCTCGCTGCTTGCACTACAGGTTATTATTATGATTCCGCGGGCTTTTGTTTTAGGCATACTTGGTTTTACTTCATTAATTACCATTCTAAAACAACTCTTTTTTAGGTCTCATTTCCATCTTTCTCTTTGCCTAATATTTTAATCAAAATTAAATAATATTTTCACCATAAATTTAAGTTCTAAACTACGACCTCTAGTGCAAACAGCTGACGACTTGTTAAGGACATCAGAAATGGTGACACACCGATATGCCGGCGATTACCAAAAACGAGGCCGATAAGCAATCCTTAGTGGTGTATATTATCCTTGCTGGCGACTTAGTTATGACGTCGGAAATGGTGACACACCAATAGGTCTGTTTCTGTAGAAATCACAAGTCAATCAGAGTGAATTTCATTGGCTGAAACTAGTTTTCTGTTTCAAACAATGAAAATTCGCTCTGACTGGTATGTGATTTCTGCACAAACAGACCTAATATGGCGGCGATTACCAAAAACCAGGCCGATAAGCAATCCTTAGTAGTGTGTATTATCCTTGAGGTTAACCGGTTATTGTAATAACCGGTTAATTTATCCCATGCCTATTAGGTGGATGTGAATGGTGGTTTGTTTGTTGTTGGTGGTTTCGGTGACTCGGTCGTCTATGAGTACTATCCCGTACTAACGAGATGTGAAGTTAAAACTTGAAAAAACAACTCTGAAATGAGCCCTAAACCGAAAGCAACTTCTTCAAAAAAGTCCAAAAGCACACTTGTTGAACCTCCAAAACAAAGAAAAGCTCCCTCAAAACCAAGCAAAAAGCCGAAGAATCCAGAATCTACACAAGCTCCAAGAAAAAAACTAAAATCAACAAATCCAGAAACAGAAACTAATATTTTACCACAAATATGCAACAAGCACTGGGACAAATTCGAAAATGATCTTAAAACTAGGGAAGTCGACAAAATCACTGAAAAAGTGAATTTGTGTGCAGCTAGGATGCACGGCTTCGAAGTATACAATACTCATTTTTTAAGCTTACCCTTTTTACGTTTAGCCATTGTTGATTGTTTATTAAATAGGAAATGGGACAATTTACTTAGGCTAGTCATTAGACTAAGCAGGAATTATATGGATCCAGTTTTTAGAATGCCTATAAGACATGTAAGAATTGATATTGTAAAATTGATTTAGTTCGTTTCAATGAGTATTATTCGTTACAGCTTTGTCAAATATTGAAGACATACCATCCAGCAATCAGAGGCACAGAAATTGCAGATCAAATCAATTTAGTAGTGGAGAAATTTGAGAAAAAGTCTGAAACTAGAAAAAATCTTACCAATGTTGTTTAAATAAAAAAATAGACTTATTTTAAATTAGTTTATTATTAAAAAATAACCCTAGACATTCTATTTCTTAGCTTGGGCTGCACGGTCAGCCTTCCTCTGAGCAGCAACTGCCCTTTGCTTGTTGGTGCTCAAATTGTGCCTTTTCGAGAACCTTTGGTTCTTTAAGAATTTAGCATCCATCTAAAAAGAAAAGATTTTGTCTATAAAGTATAATGGACAATCAAAATAACTTCCTACTTACCCCTAGGGTAGATTCGTGCAAGAACTTCTTAGGCTTTTTGATGCCATTTCTGTGAGCCTTGCGGTCTAAAAATTTTAATATATAAACTGAGATTATTGTTGAATTATTTACTCACTTTGATTGTGATTTGTGTGATTCTTTGACTTGGCCATCGCTGTTGTTTTTGGACTACCTAAAGTAAACACAAATTGAGGTTAGAAATTATTTCTTCGTGATACAAATGGAAATAGTGAAAATATTGAATAGAAAATGAAGCGGGACGGTTCTTTTAGCATTTACAATAAAAATTTGGGAAATTATTTAAGGGATGAATTAAATAAATAAGGATTACGAAAACTTACCTTCCTAAACTGTCAAAAAAATTTTTAGAAGAAACTTCAAAGTTTTTGTTTTGTTTTGATGAGAGGTTGGTAGTACAAATGTCAATACTGTCAATATGTTGCCAGGCTGGGGCGAGTTCAGGAATGACACACCCAGTGTGAGTGTGACACCGGTGCGACGCCCTAGCTGTTCAAAAATGCTCACCCTGTGCGTTATTTCTGAACTCGGCCCTGAATAACGACGAACGAATGGAGGCTGTGACGAATGCCAAAAACAAATGAGGTTCAAACTAGTTTTCTGACTGTTTCTGATTGTTTTCAACCAATGAAATCCGCTCTGACTGGTTTGTGATTTCTCTACGAACAGACCTAATTAATGGCTAAAAAATTGCCAAATGCGATTTTTTAGGATTCCAGTCCAGTCTGATGCAGCAGACTGAACCCCAATTCTCGAAACATTTGCTCAGGAAACATTCTCTCGCAAATGGAGCAACTCTGGCAGATACAAATGAAAACTCTTGAATGTTTTTGTTACGTCAAAATTGTCAAAAAAATCCCTTCAAATCCTAACCTAATTTTTTCGGAACTAAAATTCAAAAAGTGTTTGGTCTTGTGTTTGTCCTGTAATTTTTAAAAATAGTAGTTTTTTGTTAGTAGAATAAGTTGAATAACCATGGACGACGAAGCAGAAACCTACAAGCTATGGAGAATTCGTAAAACCGTTATGCAAGTAAGTTTCCTGTCGTTTGTAATTCAAATCAAAACAAACTAACTGCAATGTGCATTTGAAATCGTTTCTGGAAGTTTGGGGTTGCTAATTATCTTCCTCTACAATCTACACCAATTCAAAATATGTTATTGGAGTTGGTTAGGGTAAATTTCAGACCCCAAATATGAACTACCTACAACTTAGCATTCTCTTGGGTTTTCTCCAACAATTAACACAATACAAAATCTATTCCAGTTGTGTCATGATAGAGGCTACCTAGTAACACAAGATGAATTGGACCAAACCCTAGAACAATTCAAGGAACATTTTGGAGACAAACCCAGCGAGAAACGTCCATCAAGAAGTGACCTGATTGTGCTAGTCGCCCACAACGACGACCCCACAGACCAAATGTTCGTATTTTTCCCAGACGAGCCTAAAATCGGCATCAAAACCATCAAAACATACTGTCAAAGAATGCAAGACGAAAACATCCATAGAGCCATTATTGTGGTGCAAGCGGGCATGACTCCTTCAGCCAAACAGTCTCTAGTAGACATGGCTCCCAAATATATTTTGGAGCAATTTTTAGAGTCCGAGTTGCTGATTAATATTACTGAGCACGAGTTGGTGCCAGAGCATGTTGTGATGAATCCTGAGGAGAAACAGGAGCTTCTAGCCAGGTACAAGTTGAAGGAGAATATGTTGATGAGGATTCAAGCTGGTGATCCTGTTGCCAGATATTTTGGACTTAAAAGAGGACAGGTAATAATTTGTCATTTATTAGGTTTCTTTCAGCAAGATTTTTGGAACGCCATATACAGGGTGGTCCATTTAACTTGAGAGACAGAATCATATCTCGAAAACGCTGTGTTTTTGAAAAAAAAAAGTTCAAATAAAAGTTGTCTAGGTCAAAAATCAGTGCTACCATTTTCTTTCCCTCATGACACCATATATATACTTATGATACTAGCCTGTCTCATGTTAAATAGACCACCACATATTTAACCTAGCTTTTCTGAAAAAATCAAACTCAAAAAAGTGTGGGAGTGGATATTAGTATAAATGGTTGATGACAGTTGATTAATCTTTGAATAAATAATAAATAATATGTCTGTTCGTACAGAAATCACAAACCAGTCAGACTGCATTTCATTGGTTGAAACTAGTTTCCTGACTGTTTCTGACTGTTTTCAACCAATCAAATTCGCTCTGACTGGTTGGTGATTGCTGTGCGAACAGGCCTTATAAATGGGGTTGGTACACAGATGAAGGGTGATTGGCCACATTTTGACCAATATGTAATTTGTTTATCTGACACATAGTTTAAATTTGACATTTATGAGTGTCATTAAAAGGCGCCAGAAAATCAGAACTATGATGTATCCTCTCCTGTCATTTTAACAGATATGTTATAACTCAACACCTATGTATATAGCAATAGCAATAGCATTTATTAATAGCATCAGCTAACAAACAACAAAAAATACATTATTACATTAGCAAAATATTTATATACAGGGTGTCCCTTGGTGGATGGCGTATTAGACGTTAATGGAAAACTAAAGAGCGGATCATTTTGAAAATTTGGCAACCAGAATAAGCGACCATAATCTACACTTTAAAAATATTTTTGTTTATGCGGTGTTGCCGCTTCTACTCTAAATCAGTGGCAACATCGCTATTTAAATGGAACACTCTGTATATTTGGATTCTACGTAAAATTCTCAGCAGATTTCATGTGATATACTCTATACCTATCTATCTATCTATATTTGGTATACTCAAAACCTTCGCATTCAGGTAGTTGTTACAAACCTCCGCCTCGCTTGTGCATTCTTCCTTTTTGTGATTTTTCGCTGCATTTTGGGCATATTATTTCCTGAGACCTAAATTCATGAGCCATATAACCAACATTTATAACACTGTATGATAGTTACATGCTCATAATAACGACACGTTCTCCATCCAATATGCAAAACCTCCTTTCTATTTATCTCTTCAAAAGTTTTCCCATCCACCTCCAGTATAGCCACCTCTCCTCTTTTCTTATCTCCTTCATAGGTACTTGAAAGCTTCACTCTTCTGTTTTCACCAATATTTGAAATTCCATTTTTTATCATTAAATTCTCTATCAAAACTTCAGGGGCTGCGTTCAGGAATGGCTACAGCCAAGCCAAAATTGGCATTTTGCGTTCGAGTTTGGCTCCAACCTACGTGGTTCGGCATTACCGGTGGAGGGGTAAAAGTAGGTTTTGGCATTAGCATCGCCATCTTTGAACGCACCCAGGGTCTTTTTTTCTATATTTGTGATTTTCAACTTTGAATTTCTCTCAATAACATGGACAAAAACACCCGTGGAAAAACATTACACCTAACTCTCGCGGAGAATGTCTTTTCCACCCTTGACCGTCCACATCCCTTGACAGCTGGCCAACTGCCGCCGCCGGCGGAAACGCACCACTTTCTGCACTTGTTAGGTCAATAACTATTTGTTTATGCCAACCCTGAAAGCGCGTTTTTAGATTCACAACTAGATGGCGAAGAATGCATGAAAAGGATTGTCGCCTGAATGTGATTTCACTCAGGAAGCCTTTCTGAAAATTACCGGTAAAGAAATTTGTCGGGTTAAATTACCAAAATTACCGTTACCGAGGTAACGTTACCACACTTCAATCTCTACCCTTACCTATACCTAGATCGGCATTGACAAAAAATTCTATAATGTATGAAAGCGTGAAAATGTATAACAACTTGCCAAATGATATTAAAAATATCAAGGAATATTTCGCTTTTCGTGACAGTACAAAAAAAATTCTGGTTTCCAGGGCATTTTATTGCTTACAGGAATTTTATATTTGATCCAGCGCATTATTATACGTATTTTATAAGTATTATCTGCAGGTCTATAAACCTAGCAGTCCCAAGGTGGAAAAAAACTTCGGGAACTATATAATAATTAGGTGCTTTTTAGGTGCTAATTAGGGCATCTAATTGAAAATTAGGTGCTCCTTTAGTTTTTGAGAAAATCAAAAAAACTAAGGGACTGCTAGGTTTATAAAAGCTAGCAGTCCCCTATAGTAAAAAAAAATTTTCCAAATTTTTTCTTTGTATCAGAATTAGGTGCTTTTTAGGTGCTCCTAAATAGTCCAAGAGAAAATAGATTTGATTAATTATTAACTGAGTTACAGATTTTTTTTTTAATTATTAGGGGACTGCTGGCTTTACGTTTACATGTTGGTGTGTCAGAATGGCACAAAAACTTCGGAATCTATATATTAATTAGGTGCTAATTAGGGCCTCTAATTAAAAATTTGGTGCTCCTCTAGTTTTTGAGAAAATCAAAAAAAACTAAGGGATTGCTAGGTTTAGGAAAGCTAGTAGTCCCCTATAGTGAAAAATATTTTTCCAAAAATTTCTTTTGTATAAGAATTAGGTGCTTTTTAGGTGCTTCTAAATAGTCGAAGAAAAAATAGAATTGATTAATAATTATTAACTGAGTTACAGATTTTTTTTAATTATTAGGGGACTGCTGGCTTTACGTTTACATGGTTTACATGGAGTGTCAGAATGGAAAAAAACTTCGGGATCTATATAATAATTAGATGCTTTTTAGGTGCTAATTAGGGCCTCTAATTAAAAATTAGGTGCTCCTCTAATTTTTGAGAAAATCAAAAAAAACTAAGGGATTGCTGGGTTTATGAAAGCTAGTAGTCCCCTATAGTAAAAAATATTTTTCCAAAATTTTGTTTTGTGTCAGAATTAGGTGCTTTTTAGGTGCTCCTAAATAGTCGAAGAAAAAATAGAATTAAATAATTATTAACTGAGTTACAGATTTTTTTTAAAGTCATTAGGGGACTGCTGGCTTTATGTTTACTTGTTGGTGTGTCTGAATGGCAAAAAAACTTCGGGATCTATATAATAATTAAGTGCTTTTAAGCTGCTAATTAGGCCTCTAATTAAAAATTAGGTGCTCCTCTAGTTTTTGAGAAAATCAAAAAAAACTAAGGGATTACTGGGTTTATGAAAGCTAGCAGCCCCCTATAGTAAAAAATATTTTTTTATTTTTTTCTTGTTTCAGAATTTGGTGCTATTTAAGTGCTCCTAAATAGTTGAAGAAAAACTTGAATCAGTTAATCATTAACTGAATTACAGATTTTTTTCATTATTAGGAAATTGTTGGCTTCACTTTTACTTGGTGATGTGCCAGAATAGGAAAAAAAATTTGGGGTCTATATAATAATAATAATTAGGTACTTTTTAGGTGCTAATTAGGGTTACTAATTAAAAATTAGATGCTCCTTTAGCTTTTGAGGTAATCACAAAAAAAAGGGACTGCCAGTTTAATGGAAACTAGCAGTCCCCTAAAATAAAAAATATTTTTTCAAATTTTTCGTTTGTATCAGAATTAGGTGCTTTTTAGGTGCTCAAAAACTAGAGGAGCACCTAATTTTTAATTAGAGGCCCTAATTAGCACCTAAAAAGCACCTAATTGTTATATAGATCTCGAAGTTTTTTTGCCTTTCTGACACACCAACAAGTAAACGTAAAGCCAGCAGTCCCCTAATAATTAAAAAAAAAATTGTAACTCAGTTAATAATTAATCAATTCTATTTTTTCTTCGACTATTTAGGAGCACCTTAAAAGCATCTAATTCTGATACAAAAAAAAAAAATTGAAAAAATATTTTTTTTTTACTACTAACCTGAGAAATAGACATTATTCAATCTATTTTTCTAAGAAAAAATTGAATTTCTCTCCCTAGGTTAATAATGAAAATAATGAAAAAATACCTAGGTCAATAATGGAAATGACGTCATGACGCAAGGATATTGACATGTTTCTATTGGTTCAATTCCAATTTCATACGTCAATTTGAAAAAAAAATACAGGTTTCTGTAGGTACATAGGAAGTTATATAAGCTGTTGATAGAGGGCAGCACTTTCAAGGGGGCGTTCACAAAAAATAATTAGAACACAGATTTTAAACAAATTTTTTATTTTCCACTAGCAGTAGTAAAAAAAATTCTATATATTCCTCGGTAGAGAAAGTTATTATATACCTCAAGCATTATATATAAAAGCTTTCGGTATATAATGACCAACTTCTCTACCTAGGCATATAATATACTATTACTATAGGGGACTTCTAGCTTTCATAAACCTAGCAGTCCCTTATTCCAAGGTAGCAGTTTTTACTGGCTCTTGAAAGTGACAGTCATTTCCTTCAATCGCCAGTAAAAACTGTTTTACCTGGCTTATAATGTAAAATACTATTTCTTCAAATGAATTTCATGTTTCCCTTTAAATGTGGACAAGTCGAGTTGAATATATGTATATCAGAAATACTTCTCTACTTTTTTTCTTTTAATAGATATGTTCGCAGTTCTTCATTTTGCATTTTTCAACAATGCTTTTAAGGTAATATTTCTGATACAGATTTCCGTACATTGTCATTTAAACCACCTTCAAAGTAATTTGTAAGTCAACTTAGGTTTCCTAAACGGTATAAATTCGTACTGCCTATAACTTCCAGTACCATTTGTACCCAAGCCTAGGGTGGAAATTTCCATATTTTCACAAAATACCTTTTTTCGATGAATCGCAATTATTAGTTTTACCCCCTTAAACTACCCTCAAAGTTATTTGCAAATCTTTTTAGGTACCCTAAATGGTGTATATCGGTACTGCCTATAACTTCCTGTACCATTTGTACCCGAGACTAGGGTGGAAAGTGGAAATGTTCATATTTTCACAAGAACCCCTTTCTCGATGAATCGCAATTATTAGTTTTAACCTCTTAAACCATCGTCAAAGTAATTGGCAAGTTAAGTGAGGTTCCTTAAACGGTGTATATTGGTACTTTCTATAACTTCCAGTACCATTTGTACCCGACACTAGGATGGAAATGTCCAAATTTTCACAAAAACCTTCCTCGGTTATAACCTCTTAACAGTCATAAGTATTTACTATTTGACTCAGTATTTGATGGATTTGCTTTTATAGATAATAGCAGGAGCATCATGTAGAACGGTAACATAATCATTTCACTTGCATATCTACCTGTGATATATAAAAAAAAATGTATACAATAATATAAATCAGTTGACTTCTGCATTTATGATAAATAGTATAGGGGCCCTGTATAGCTAGGATTATATCTGCAGGTGCCTTGTTATCCTTCTTTTTCCATTCTTTATAATTTCTGAGGCTCATCAACCAATTCCCAATGGTCAGTGCAGATTAAAAGGTATTTATATGCAAATTTAGCATACTTTAATGACCCAAATTAGTGAATAATTTACATATTTCTTTATAATAACTCATATAAATGAATACTATGTCTCCATTTTTCTATTTACCATACCAGGAAATTTGTTATTTAGGTACTTAAACCAGGTACATAGATCATTAGAACCACTGGCTCTTGGATTCAATAGGGTAGCAGAAACAATAATTATTATAGATCTGAATGCCCTGTGGTTGATAAAATAATATCAAAATGTGAATAAGATATTTCGAGAAGCTTCTTTAAGGCAAAAAAAGATTCTGAAAAATTCGAAATTAACAGTCATTTTCAAATTTTCTGCTTTTTGAGGTAAATGACCATTTCATCGACTCATTTAAGGCAGGTGACGCTAAATAGTGGCAATGCGGGTACTCTATTTTTTCAGTAGCTAGTGATGTTTATTTACAATTCAGTTGATTAACGAATCATCAATTTAAACGTCTTAAATCACATTTATACTGTCACAAGTTATCATTAACATTTTTTTTGCATAGACTGTGACTCCACCTTTTTTACATTGATCTTTTTGCAGGTGGTGAAAATTATTCGTTCATCGGAAACAGCCGGCAGATACATTTCCTATCGTTTGGTCACCTAAAGAAGTACAGGAAATGCCTTTTAACATTTAAAATAAATTAATTTTTAAGTACAAAACTAAGTTGTGTCTTATTTGATGACTGATGATCAAAAATGCATCATCAGTGGTTCCTTTGTTTCACTCAGTAGGAACCCACAAAGAAAGGTTGCACCCAAACCCGGGTACCATAAATATTACAACAACCAGAACCAGTTTTGGATTGCCTGAGACTCAAATTATATAAATTTTTCCTGATAATCAAATTAAATCCTAATAGGATTGAAGAGGGAGAAGCCAGCAGAGCATCATTGATTTCCCATTTTGAAATTTCATTTCAGATTATGGTTAATCAATGTACCGTTGCGCCTCGGTATGAGCGCATAATTAATAAGCCAATCACAATCGTAGCATTTGAAAAGCGTCAGGCTAGAATGTAACTATAAAAAGAGGTATGTTAATGGCCAATTTAAATAAAACTCCTATTATTCTTGGTTAGGTTTGGCAACGCCGCTAATCGCTAGCGCATCTTTGTTCGACCGCACATGGCGGACATAAACAAATGATCTTCTGGGGTGGGGGTAATCAGCTGGGCGGTGGGGTGGGACGGTAACACCGATTACAGTGTTGTCGGAGTGATTGTCTTGAAAATCTGTGAACTTTTTGATCTGCCTGTATTGTATAGGGCTACATAGGAGAATATGGTTTTTTGAATTTTTTTGATTTTTTATTTTGTGTTCTCGAATTTTCTTTATCATTTTTATCCCAGCTTCTTGACTCTTCTTTATTTTTTGAAAATTAATATCAGACTTTTCGAATTTTCGGTATTCTTTAATTATTACAGTTCCAAATTACATACCATTGAGGGTGATTTACACGTAGCTGGCGCAAGTTTCACTGGCGTTCCATTTCTGAATCGTGTGGAACACTCGCTAGTGGCAGTTCAGCACTGGTCACGATTGTCTGGACTCGTGTAGACGATCTGGGTCCAGCGAAACTAGCGAAAGGTTCCTAATTTTAATAGTTTGTCTGCTAATGGGAAACAGATGACGTCATCTGGGGTGCCTAATGGAGATTTTCATTATGTTTAGGTACCCCATAGATGACGCCAAATTTGAAATGCCAGGGAGACTGGCGCCAGCTACTGAATGCGTGCAAATCGGCCTTCATTCTTGCATTCCAGAATCCAGGGAATTTTCTTTATTTCCTATTTCCTATTTGAGTTCTTGAGTCTTGGGGTTCCGTTATTCTTGTATTCCAAAATTAAGGCTGTGTATTTTTGCACTGTGTCTCTTTTTATGTTTATGTCCAGACTCAAGACTGAATTTTATGTAACATGGGAAAACCAAAATTCCAAGGTTGTTTGGGAGAGATAGGTTGCCTGATATTTTTATGACGTCATCTGAACGGACCCAACAGTTGCTTTCAATGTCCATTTAACGTCGATTTTGACAATTTGATGAATCAAACGACAATCTTAGTAGGTCTTGTGAAATAGCGTCATTTGAAAAAATCCATGTCGGTAAAGCAGGGATTGATAAATATTGTAATTGACAGCGTTGCCCACTCAGAAAAGTCACGTGAGAAAAGTCTTTTCAATGGGATTTTTAACGGTTTTCTATTTTGAAAAAATTGACAGTTGCACAAAAATGATTCGCCGGAAATTGTCCCAAGTTAATTTACAAGTCTAGTAGGTTTAAAAATGGCGGGTAGCAAATGCCATCTATTAGTGTCCTTTTAATCTTGAATTGTTTATCTTCGTCCTTTTTCAACTAATGATATTGAAAAGAGACAAATAAACTTTTTGAAAGGGATAAAGGTCGATAAAACATAGTTAAGAAGTAGGCCTTGTAACGTCGAATTTGAAAATTTAATGCATCAAACGTCAATCCTAGTAGGCCATGTGAATAGCGTCATTTAAAAAAATCCCTGTTGGTAGAGCAGGGGATAATTATTGTAATTGTCAGTACCAACTCAACAAAAGTCATGTGAGAAAAGTCTTGGGAATCGCATTTTAACCGTTTTTTTTTTTTAGAAAAATTGACAGTTGCACAAAAATGATTCGCTGGAAATTGTCTCAAGTTGATTAACAAGTCTAGTAGGTTTAAAAATGCCGGATAGCAAACGCCATGTATCAGTGACCTTTTAATCTTGAATTGTTTTATCTTCGTCCTTTTTCAACCAATGATATTGAGAAGAGACAAATAAACTTTCTGAAAGGGATAAAACATAGTTATCAGGTAGGCCTTGTAACGTAGAATTTGACAATTTAATGCATCAAACGTCAATCTTAGTAGGCCATGTGAATAGCGTCATTTAAAAAAAAATCGATGTCGGTAAAGCAGAGATTGATAAATATTGTGATTGACAGCGATGCCAACTCAAGAAAAGTCATGTGAGAAAAGTCTTTGCAATCGCATTTTTAACGGTTTTCTATTTTGAAAAAATTGACAGTTGCACCAAAAAGATTCGCTGGTACCATTCCATTAACGTAGTATACATGTCACTGGCCTCAACCTCCATAAGGCACCCCAGCCAGATGCGTCACCAAGTTACCCATCACCAGACAACCTATTACCACTTTTAGGAATCTTGCTAAACTTCAATTTCCCTGGAATATTTAGACAAAACTTGAAACGATAAAAATGAGAAATGAAAAGAAAATAATATATTTCCTAACTAGTGCGGAAACTGCCACTTTTCCGCATGCTCGTAGAAAATTTTTATATCCGTCATTATGAAACAGCTATTTCGATTTTCCATGAACTAGACAAAGATAGACTGGTCATCGATGGATCCATCGGTGAGAAAAAAAATGCGCCCATTATTTTTGTTTATCAAGCAACATATGGCCTACATGTCATTTGTCAATACCATACAAATTTGATACTTGACACCTTGTCATTTGTCAAAAATGGAAGTTTTTGAACTGTATGAAAGCAATGGAAAATTTTGTTCAAAAACTCTTACAAAACGAAAAGTATACGAGGAAAGCTGGAAAATTCGTTCAAACATATCGAATAAAGCCTAGTACTCATAACTGCGAAATTCGCACTTTTTTGACATTTTCCTTCGACAATTGGACGTTAAATACGTGAATCAAACGTCCAATTGTCGAAGCAGTGTCAAAAAAGTGCGAATTTCGCAGTTACATATGAGTACTAAGCTTAAAAAAGGTTCAGAACAATCGGAGCGGTCTGAGGGAAATTCGGAACGCACCCTTTGTTTGATAGCTTCAACCTCTCATAAATGTCATGTTTTTTCTATTCAAATTCAAATGTGATACAAATTTGTCGCCAGTTATTTAATTCTGCAATTAAATTAGTGAAGTGGCCATCTGCGCTCTTTATTAAGTACACCAGTAAGAAAATTATTGCAATTTGAAGAAATTTCAGAAATCTGACAACATCGGGCGCCTATTAGGGCTCCGCTAGGTGTTTTTAGGGGCAGTTCGTGGCGCTGCCTTCGGTTCCAGTCCCCACTGCACTGACAGTTTCCACTTCCTAAAGTGTCAGTGTGTGATTGTTCGCGTTAGGCGTCGGACGGGACGCATGGCGCACGACGCGCTGCCGCCTCGACGCCCCCCGGTGGGCGCGTTGCCCCCCTGTTGTGCCCCGCTACGTTTGAGACCGCCGCCCCCGCGTAATGCCGACTCTTTGCTCGATATCACCGCGAAAAAAGTGGCCGAGACGATCCCGTTCGCCAGGATCGAGGAAAAGTACGATCGGATCCCGGAACCGGTTCAGAGGAGGATCGTTTATTGGAGTTTCCCCAGGAACGAACGGGATATTTGCATGTACTCGAGTTTGTCGAGGATCCAGAACAATCAGGAACCGGGCAGTTTGGCTTTTTGTAAGGGCATGAAACTGTTGGAGACCGGATGCGTTGATAATGTACTTCAAGTTGGTAAGTTTTTTTTTTTATTGAGGTGACATGATGGCCTCCTACAGTCGATATTGATATTTAATTACCAGGAGGAATGGGAGAACTTAATTGATTGAGGAGGGTTTTTCAATTCTCAAGGCCTCTTGCACCAACCCTCCTACAGCCGTTCAACTTAAAATCCTTGATTGCTCACCAGTTTCATTGAAAAATTTTGATGATTCAAAAATCCGGCTCGAAGGACCGCAGAAAAAAACTCTGACTCAATATTACCGATAACGGAATTAAAAGTTAAGACGATTACACACATATGATCCAATATTGTGTATTTACATTTCGATTATTATTAAACAAACCTGACTTATTGCGTAGGCGGTACTACTTGAGTCTTGACCCCACCTTTATTTATTTAAGTGTAGAACTCGACTTGAATATGATTGTTGATATTTTAAATTAAATGGAAAAACAGCTGATTGTATCAATTATTATAAGTGACTTTTATATGGAATGATATGATGAAATCTTGTTTCAAGGTCTCTGAGCACCCTATGGTTTTTGAGTGTTAATGGCTCGGCATCAATTTAAAACATTGATTTTAGTGTTTAGAACACCATTCTCTTTCTTTAGAATTTGGGTCTAAAATCGGTGGCAAACTGTAGCAATTTTTTCGGTTTAATGTGAAACTTAGTTAAGTCTATCCACAACTTCATGTCAGCCAATCTTTTTTGGAAAGGTTTTTCATTTTTGAGGAGCCCAAAATCGTTACTTGGCCCTCTAGGCGCAGGTTCTAAACCAGTCAATTCATGCACTAGTTCCCCTTCCAAAGAAACTGTTGTACTCGCGATAGACTCAAAACCCTAAAAGAAACAGAGAATTTTTCCAAGAAATAAGTAGGAACAATACTTTTTTGAGAATTTCCAGCTAAAATATAAAGAGGAAGGACAAAAAGGCGGATAGGATATACACTGTAATTGAAAAATTCTGAAACAAAGACTTGGTACCAATGCGCATGAAAAAATGAAAAGATGGAACAGAAGAAATGAACAAGAACAGAATCACTTCAGCTGTGAGAAGCCTCTTTCGTGACATATTCAGGTTAAAGTAAGATCCGAAAGTCGAGACAATTAGGCTGTTCATTTGTA